CAGTCCCCATATATGCCTAAAAATATGTACTAATTGCTCTTGTTCAAAAAAAAAAAAAAAAAGCATAAATCCCACCAGAATGAGACCCCTGTGTGCTTTAAGTAAGATTTTTTGACCTCTATGGTTCAAGTAAACCATATATATGTTGACATGCAACTAACAATGAGAGGGTAATGAAAAAGAGATAGCTATGGGACTCATGTGATGAAATTCCATCTATTTTAAGTTAATTACAATGATAACATAAAGGAAAATGATTGATACACCCTATAAAGTTACAGACTCCATTACACATTAACGGTTTTCATTACTTATATCGTTAAAACTGACAGTTTCTGTCAATGTGTAATAGAGTGTGTAATATAAAAATTGTAGATTAAAACATACAAAGTGTATGTTGAAGAGTTAAGTCTCAAAAACAAACAATTATAAGTGTTTCAAGGGAGTGTGGTGATTGTCATCCCAATAATGCTCCCAATGAAGCCATGAAGAGGAGCAAATATTTATCAGATTATATGATGTACCTGCTGGTCATGCGACCCACCATGCTACAGTTTGAGCATCGTAGGAATTTCTGGTTGGAACATGTTATTGATAAGCTCTGTCACCCTAAAGCACCAAATATGAGAGCTTTGCTCGAGTCACTGCTGGACCTTCCCGAATCCAGGTTTGTTTATTTATTTATTTATAAACAAACATAACTAAACTAATCAATATTTTTTAATATACTTTCCTTTTCTTTTTTTCACCTAAGTCCCGAGGATATGACGAGTACTGCGATGGAGAATCTGCCAGATTTTGCTAGATACCTTGCCAAAACATTGAATCAATGCCACAATAAATGGGAGCTGATAGAGGCAATGTGGATTGAGATGCTTCTCTATGGAGCTCTTTCGTACCAACATGTAAACCATGTTAGGCATAGCCTGGGACAATACGGCCGAGAGTCCCTTGCCTTAATCTGGATCATGGTTGGCAATCATATTTTACAAAAAGAGATAATGAAAATGGAGCAGTAGCTCTTGTGGCCTCAGACTTCGCTGCAGGGAATTTATGGGTGCTCTTGTTGTGTGTCTGATTTTCTTCTTCTTTTTTTTTTTTTTCGTCTTCGGTCTTTTTGTTGCGTGTCTGAAATAAGTGTGCCAGCCTTGATGCAATTAGTATCTTTTTTCTTTGTACATTGTGCAATGTGTGTAATCTAGTTGAATTCTTGAACATGAAATAAATGTTGGGTAAGTATAGATTTGAATTTTCATTATTTTAATAGGTACATGTTTCAATACATTGCAATTCATTGACTACTGATAATAACAATATTCGACAAAGGATTACAATCCAACATAAGATTAGACAAGGGTCTGCCAATGCCCTTGATACCCAAAGTGAATTATTTTTAGAATATTGCCTTGGACCATTAGATGCAAAAACACTAATCTAACAACAAGCCTGTTGGATATATTGGTTTAAGCAAGTGTCATTTTATAAATCAAGTTTAAGGTGTAAATTTTGGGACTAGTATTTAAATTTTTTTGAATGTACAAAATTGACGTGGGAGTTTACTCTTAAGATTATTTAGGAAGAATTGGTCTTGCCATTTGTGAAAATAGATTGAGATACTCTGAGCATAACCAAAAAAAAAAAAAAAAAAAATGCCAAACAACAAAAGGGAAAGGATAAACAGAAGCCACAGACCCTTTTTCCCTGGCCTGTTCTATAACTTAACAAGAGTAACATTATATTATTAAAAGACAAAACTTTACTTGGTTTTTGAGACCAGAAAAGGAAGAAGCTCTACTTTGGATCCTACCTAACTGAGACATATTTTCTTTTACAAAAGCAAGAAACTCTATATTGAATCCTAGCTGAGACATATTTTCTTTTATCTGACATATTACTTTCTTTTCCATGTGGAAAATTGGTTGATAGAATTATGTTTCCGATTTAACTTAATTCATTCAAATTTACAGTGGAAAAGATATTAAAGCCACCAAGTTAGCTACTTTAACTTCCTGCTGTTTAGTATCCGGATGTTGAAGCAAAGAATGAGAATATATGGTTGGGACTATTGTTAAACTTTATGTGTCATTAAGTAATTAATGTCCAATCCTTTCTTTCTTTTTGTGTCATTTATTTGTCATTGCCCAAATGTTGGACCCTTTACCTTCTCACAATTCCTCTTTGTTTTGCAGGAATCAGCAAATACATAGAGAGGATTTTGTGTCGTAAGGTCACTAACTCAACAAACCCAGCGGATCATCTCCGTATTTAAAATCCTGATCAACTATCTTCCCCGTTATTAGACCATCAATCAAAAATAGTCCTCCTAGGCTATGCATTGTTTTCAGTTATGAGACCAGGTGTCAATGATTACCTCTGCCATAAGGAATATCCCATGTCCTTGAAAGAGGATACGAACCTATCTAAGGAAAACCAACCATGAAATCATGTTAATTCACAAAGCCTTGCTTGAACAAGACGAGAGGAGTAGTAATCCTTTGGCTCATTTCGACATAGCTGTTGTAGAACTGGGGATTTTATTTGATGTTGTTTAAACAAAAAATGCTTTCATTTATACTAGAAAAGGATTCATCTTGCACCTCACCAGCTTCACTCTTTCCATTGGGATTCTGCTGTACTTCCTGACATTAATCTGCAGGGGTTCGTTTGCAGACGCTGATAATTCCATAACATTATTCTTGTTGGTCGGAGCTGTTGCACTGGATATTTGTGCTGTGTTCTCAATTCTTTGTTCTGATTGGGCAGTGATTTTAATGCATAACAATCTTTTGGCTCGCACAATTCTCAAGTATGTATTGCAAAAATTTCGTTGATTCTTGCCTCAATAGAAGAGGTGGTCAGCTTGGATGGAACAATCTGATTTGTTGGATTATTGCTGGATTTCTGGGAAGGACAGGGTTTATAGGTTTCTACAAAAGTACTATAGCAGTGATATTCTTGAAAATTGGAATAGGTTCAAGCATACCAGGTTTGTGGAAGTTTCAAGATGTTTGAAGCTAAAAGAGGTTTACCAAAGGCAACTAGATTGGGGTCTGGGCTAAGGAGTCACAAGTAAAGGAAGGCTGGGATTGTATCTGGAACATAGTGGTGTGGTCCATATGGCTCACGAGAAATCAAAAGGTATTTCGAGATCTCGACGTGAACAAAAGTAAGTTGCTCGACCACATTCAACTGAAATCCTTTTTGTGGATTAAAGCAAAGAAACCCAGATGCTTGTTTAATTTTTCTGATTGGCTAATCAATCCTATAGCATGTCTTAAAGATAACTGCGGTAGGAAATAGAATCTTGTTCTATGCTTGGTAGGATTATCCTCACTGTTAAGAGGGTATTGATGGATGCATACTCACTGTAATTACATAGGAAGCATTGAGCAACTAGTTGACTCTACTTAGAATGAAGACAGAGTCAGTAGATGCTCAATAATTTCCTTGTTTTTGTATTATGGGCAGGAGTACCCCTTATACTCTATATAATTAAACATCATTTTCTGTGCAAAAAAAAAAAAAAAGGCAACTAGATTCCTTTTTTTCGGGTGATTCCTTCGAAGCAACAAGGGGGGAGAAGACGCTTGACGAACTGAGGGAGGGAATATCTAATATACGTAGTGACCTCAAAGTAGTATCAAAATGGACTTTGATGCCAGCATCATAGCCTGGCACCTGGCCACAAGTGTTTGTTACCATCAAGATTACAAGAATCCCAATGAAGCCATGAAAAGCAGCAAATATTTATCAGTTTATATGATGTATTTGTTGGCCAATCGACCTGCTATTCTACTACTTGACAACTGTAGGAGTTTTAGGTTGGATGCTCTTGATGAGCTGAGTGACCCTATCTCTAAGGCATCAAATAAAAACGCTGCTTCAAATCGCTGCTGGACTTGGCCGAATTCAGGTTGGTTTATTTATTTATTTGTGTATGAACACTACTAAAAAATAGAGTATAATCGACAGCTAATTAGCTGTCGACTATACTTGGGTAGCTATAAAAAAAAAATACAAATTCAATAAAATCAAGAATTATATTCATAATTTTTTTGTTAATTAAATTATATATATATAAGAAGAATCAAACGGAATGCAATACAACTATCAAGTCTCACATCAATATATTTATGAAATAATG